TGAACTACACATTATTAGTGACTACTGCACTGCTCTACGACTCTACGAGTATGTTCCCGTAGTCCGCATGTAATTTTTTTCACAATAGATTTTTTTTTTATTTTATTGGAGAAATATATTGCTTATTATTTTAATATTTAAAACGTAAGTAATTTAGGTTAAGTTCTATTGTATCAACACATAGTTAATATGTTTTATATTTTAGTTAGACATAGATATATTAAAATATATGAACTTTAATTTCAGTTATTATTATAGTTGTTTGATTTTAATGTCATTATTGGTTGTACAACTGATATATAATAAAAAAATCTTTCAGTATTACTCACGAAAGATTAAGTCCTAAGTATATGATAATAGGATGATTTTTTATCTGGGACACTATCTTTACAATTTATGACACATCGCACAGTAGTGTACAATCAAAATTGTAATATGAATATTTAAATTCATGTGAATCTGTTCATGATAAACGTAATTCTAAATTAATAATTACAGAGTAACGATTTCTTTACTAAGAAGATTGAAATCATAACAATATATTTATAGAAAAAAGCTGCATATCAGATATGTACAGTTAAGTAGATAAATTAAATATAAAAACAAATACCCAAATTGCACACTGATGGTGTTTATTTTAGATCTCATGATCAAATATTGAATTTAATTTTAATAGGTAAACACATTAATATTTATTAAAACTCAGACATAACGAAAGCATATTTTAAAAAGTAACGGTGCTGTTTTTTCAACATATTATTAAAAGACATATATTATTGCAACGTATCTTATTACTACCCACAAAAGTAAATATATAATAATTTATAATAACATTGTAGGTAAATTTTTATTCGTAACATGAAGAAAATTATTAGTAGATAATGGTGACCCAATCATTGCAATTCTAATGGCCTAATTATTCGTAATATATCCCAATAGGTCTCCCATAGAGATCATCGTGATTGTTTCCTGGTAAAATTATCACAGTCATTTAACAGAACCATATTCATACTCATTTTATAAAAATCCACTAAACCCTCGTAGTGTGTATTTTTTTACCATATCTATACATATAAATAAAATTGGAGTGTCTGTTTGTAATATTGATATAACAGTTTTTTACTACATGCATATGAATATAAATGTACCGTGATGCACAAAATATCATTTTTTACGATTTTTGTCTGTTTGTCTGTTTGTTCCGGCTAATCTCCGAAATGGCTGGACTGATTTTGACGGGACTTTTTTTGGCAGGTAGCTGATGTAATAAGGAGTAACTAAGGCTACTTTATACTATTATTTTAGAAAAATAAAGTTATTTTTCACGCGGACGAAGTCGCGGGTACAGCTAGTTCATACATAATCCTCGTGGTCATAGTTTACTACTACTACTACAAATAAACTACGACCTGCAGCCTGAAGACCTAAGGCTCTGAAGCTAACTAACGTAAAGACATATATGTCTAAATATCCAACAGAACAAAGCGTATTATTGTACACAATTGAAATTAGGTGCGGACGTAACCGCAGAATTTTCTAAAACGTCTGTAAATATAATGTAAGTATAAAAAGCGTTATTCGTCCAAAAACGCATGTAACGTTAATTGTATCGTGAGTAAAAATGGTGTATTCTATCTTTTACGAAAGCATTATATCACAATTGATTCATTTACGCAACGTCCGGTGCTCGACGGGTGCGTGACACACAGACGTTATTCGTGACCACTCGATAATACTCTCGAACAATTTGTCTTACTATAATAACAATTATATACCTATTTAGTGTCAATAAAAAAATATATTAATCAAGTGGTCACGATTTATTCATTGAAATGAAATTGTGTGCAGGAGCGTAGGAACGCCCCCAGTCTACTTCCAATCTTCTTTAGATGCCGATATATTCAGTTGTCTATAGTCTTCAGAATGAAATCAAATCAAAAATATCTTTATTCATGTAGATCTAACAGACAATTATTAAAAATCTAATCTACCATCAGTCTTAAAAGTAGTTTTAGCTAACAATAACCGACAAGAAACTCTGCCCTCACTGTTTTCAAATACCATTATAATAATTAATATTACATAGTTTTAGGTTTAGACTGAAAACAGTGACTGAAGAAGACTGAATCAGCATATTCTATTTAATGTCATTACAGTTATAGGAAGAAATATAGATAAAAAAATATAGATTTTATATACATATGTAACTCTTCAGTCACAATAAAATAAAGGTAGCTCGATGCATGAGGTCAAATGCGGCAAAATAGAGACACTACTTCTCTAATTTAAAGCTACATATGATTCAAATAACAATACGCATTCCACGCCATCACAAGCATTGAGACGCTACTTTAACTGTGAGATAACGCACCACCCCCCACAGCATCAAACTGCATATATCATTATATCTTGTCACAAATCTATTTCATCTAAAGTCATCATAAATCCGCTTAAATACACCCGCCATTCTTGTGTTCACAATTGTTTTTGCAACTCTCACTACGCCTACATAAACAAATTACTCCACGGTAATCGATTGACAATACGATTGTGGAAATTAATATTCAATGTTTCTCAGTTCTTAATACCTTTCTTACTTCGACACCTACATACGCCTAACGTAATTATAACGTATTTGTTGTAACGCAACTTACATTTGTAAGGAGATACGTCAATTAACGTTAATTCAATACCATTCATAAAAGAAGATAGGTACCTATTAATGAAGGTAACCATGTACATTTCAGAAACATTAAAATATTTATCAATAAGCAATTGGTGACATGGGTGTACTTAAGGGAGACAGTGGGTAGCTACCCCCTGGCCACAAAGAAAAAGTGACTTGCCCCTCCCCCTGGACCAGAAACATACTTGACAAAAATAATTAGTACCTAATTTAAAATAATCATAATGTTCGTATTATTATCATATTATAGAACATAGCAAAATAAACATCTAAGAAAAGTACTAAAAATTAATAAAACTAAAATCTCATTTAACTTAATCCTGACTAACAAAAAATCGCAGTAATATGTAACTGAAAGTAGATGTAACTGTACTCATTTCAAGTATATTTAAATAGAATCGGCAATTAAATCATAACATATATCATAATAACAAATGCAATGTACGTATGAATTGTATTTTGAATATAAATTAAAACGATTTAATGAATAAATATTATGGAAAGTGCTAGTTAATAAACACATTTCGATCAGTCAAGGTCAGTTGACTTATTTGCATATCGACTCTTGATGATATCGAATATGACCGCTACATTCGTACTCTAATCTCAACACATGAGTGACCACAATCTCCGACAGCGTGGGAATATTCGTTTATTGTTCAAATTTTACAATACTTTTTGTGTAATAGCTTCAAAACTAGTGTATATCTGATGTGTGGAGTTAAATGTATACATGTATAGAGAGAAAAGTATATTACGAGTATGTAAGAGGATTTAAGAAAGATACAAAATATGACGTTTTGTGGAACAGTAACTTTTTTTCAATGATTAAATTTAATTACATTAGTGGTCATGATTAATAATCATATTACATTATTAAAACTTATAACAAATTAACATGTGACCAATATAAGCTCTGTCAAATAGGAATCCTTAAAATTTGTTTAATTTCGGCTAAACATGTATAATATGTAAACATGTATAAAAAATAAAAAGAAAATATAACTACACATAAAAAAAGTACAATCGATTTCTTTAATAGAGCATAAAATAACGTTATACTAGTCTAATATAAAAATATAATTAAAATATAGAACAGAAACGAGTTTTTATTCTATGTTTTAATTATATTTATATCTGCTATATGCTTCAAAGAAATACAACTTGAAATATAAAAATATACTTGTACAATCAGACATTTTTATCCCGAACGTGTCTGACGCAAACACTGTCATAATAAAGCATCTAGATTTTAAATACCTACATTTTCGTGTCCTTAATTACTATCCTATAACATTTTAAGATGTGACTAACATATAATCAAGGTGATTCAGTTTCATAGATAGAGTTTTATAAAAAGACAATTTTGTTAGTAATAGGATTAATATTTTTATCGCTTGTTGTTATAAACTGTATACCTACCTACTAATAGTGTTAGAATAGTTAAAGGATTAGTACTGATATGTTATTTACAATAATAGTTATAAACAGCTATAGCTTTTTTTATAATAGTTGTGATATAGATTATTCTGATTTATAATTTGTATGTATTACAAGGCCTTGTGGTGTATCGCCCGCATCTGAAGATCTTATCCCATTATTTATGGGAATTTCGAAAATATAATGTTACCTACATTAAACTATTAGTTTATTGATTATTTAAGATCGTACTCCATTGGTTTATACTACGACACTAGAGCTAAAACATTGAGTTTAAATTTGGGAGATAACAAAAACTTGGTATCTCAATTTATAATTTTGACTGACTCTTAATAATAAATCGCTGAGATTTCTCCAGTGCCTATATCATTCAGATCGGAATTCATTGTCATTATGAAGAGGTTCTGATATTACATATATCTATAGATTTTTGGAACACAAAACATCTATCACCTAATATAGATTTACATTTTTTAACATATGCTATCATATTTAAAAGATTGCACGTATTTGATAAAATAATTGGTTACTACTTGAGATTAGTTTGTAGATTAGATATAACAAAAGTGTAAATAGTATTATAGTAATATTATGGAAATAAAAAGTAAAGTAAATTATGATATATATATCTACACACAAACTTGTGCGATACGAGTTGATACAATAAAGGACGCAATTGTTTTTGCTACATCGCAACGTGTATATTTTTATAGTTTCTCTAAAACAGTCATGTAAGCTGCTTAAGCCGTTTCAGACCTGATTTATACTAGTGTGTCAATATACAAATAACGCTAATATTTTAATTCCCATTCGCAAAGAAAAAAAATCGAAGAATTTTTTTGTAGTCACTTAAAAATTACTATTAGATACTGACCTGAACTATAGTAGCAACGAGCAGACCGAAGCAGAGCGCAATGCTGGTAGTCTGTGGAGCGCTGTCTAAACTGATGGTGATGCAGGCAGCCACACCCACGGAGGTCAGCAGGAATGTGCCCAGCAATTCGGCGAACAGTTGCCGCCAGATCAGTTTGTTGTTTGTTATTTCTGCCACTCCGATCACCGAGGTTGTTCCTAAGGACCACAGGTATAATTTAATAAAAAATAAGCGTACTAATCTTATTACATGACCTCGATTGTCTGGCGGTTTAGCACACTGCTTTATTTTCGATAGTAGTGGGTTCAATATATCGTACAGTATAAACATTTGTATTATAAATGAGTATGGTTGTTTGTATAAATCTGTGTTTTTTCTATATGTATTATGTATTAAAAAAAAAATGTATCAAAGTATCAGTTGCCTAGTACTCATAAAACAAACTCAGCTTAGCTTGAGGCTAGGTAACGTTTTATAAATTCTCCAAGGATATTACTCTTATTATATTCTAAATGATAAATAGATATATAATGATGAGATGACTTTTCATAAGTAGAGTATAAATTCAAATGATTTATTCATATTAGGAAGTTATAGATTAACACATACGTAGCTATCGAACATAGAACCATCTCATTTTATAAACTCCGTTAGAAAACATCACTTGTCGTGTAAAGTATAGAAATTACCCAGTTCAGTTTTATTATTTCGTTAGTTGTAAGTCAGTACATATTTTTTATATTAATTCCTAAAAAATTATTTACAAATATTTTTTAACAAACATCAATTCTTTCGCAATCAATATAAAATTAATCTCAAATTGCTATACGATTAGTTTTTTGTTCCTCGTGTCTCAAAGTAACCAAGTCCTATACACGCACCTAAAATTTTCCAACCCATTAATAAATATTTGAAGTTGTTTTTAATAATTTGGCATAATTGTCTCTGCGAACTATTTATAGAGCTAATACAAAAAAATACCGAATTGCACGTCATAACAATATATTTTTTCTACTAACTTAAAGTACGTAAGGTATTTTTAAACTTTGTATATAGTATTAAAAAGCTCGTTCTCGAACTTACAAGAATTATTTAAGTTTTCGAAACTGTCTTGGTGGTAAATAGAAGAATAAATAAAGAAATCTCTGACAAACAAGAATAAATAAAAAGCTATACGTCGCCATATATTATTTGATTATTGAATTAATTAATAAAATTTTAAATGGCGTATTGAAAATATCCCAATATTAAATATATTTTGTAAATTTATTCAATTCATAAATTCAAATTCAAACATTCAATTATTCATTATTAATATTACTGACATTAACACACAATAATTAATATCGATAGACAAACGTTCAAAATGACAAATAGTTTATGCTCTTGTCATAATTTTACGCTTTTGATATAAAAGTAAAGAAATAAAGATGTGACAAAAATGACCTACGTCTCCAAACGAAATCGAAATGTAGTAATAATTTATGTTACTATACATAAATATGTTGGAGTCACTACAGAGATATCTGCGATTCATCTTTTTTGATTGCACCTATTATAAGAATCATAATATCTTACTGGTAATTAGGTGTAGTCGCAAATATAAAACCGATTAGATGATAAATATATAGTTATAATCTATATTTAAACCCAATGAAATTAAATTAAATGATAGAAGTATACATTTAGTAACAATATTATGTAATTTAAACATTATGACTGTAATTATGTTTGAGGCAATGATTCGTAATAAATAACGTTTTAAACGGGGGCAAATTATCACAAATACACAAAGTTAAAAGCTGTCTGCAGACCTATATAGTGTATATAGTGTAGGCTATAAGTCCTTTTTATACCAATTTCAACGAATACATAAATGATTGCATTTACTCTGCACAGAGTGTGTTAAGGCAAATCATGAGTCTAATTAGAAAGAAAAAAGTATTTACAAGTCTTATTAATAATTAGTAATACGGATTAGTGACCACAGTCTCAGCCATATCATAAAAGTTAATTATTGAAGAACTAGCTACTCGCCCCGACTTCGCCTGGGTGTACATGTATTATACATATAAACCTTTCTCTTGAATCACTCTATCTATTAAAAAAACCGCTTCAAAATTCGTTGTGACTTTCTTTTATACTATGTATAAATGATTCTCCACCAAGTACCACAATAGATATGACTCCATGCTTATACTACCACCCTCCACTACACTACACTACACATTCATAACAGTGAATGAAATTAACGCAGCGTGTACCTTATACTATTTCAAAACATATGTATAAGTATGCAAATATCAGATTCAGACAACTTTCCATTATTATAAATTAATAACAGCTAATCACTTTAAAGAAAAATAATTAGTTTCAATATTATAATTAGTTCATGTAAATTCGTACTCTAACGATGTTTTAATTGCATCTTAATAAGAGTAACGGAATATTATATGTCTGATTATAATAACATTACTAATTTGTGAATGGAATATTATGTCTCGTATATGGAACTAGATTAACTAATGAACATCTAAATTAAATTGTGGAAGTCATTAAAATATTTGGACATTTTGATCGCTTACACTTTTGTATCATAGACTAATTTAAGAGAGTATTGTTCCATGAAAAAAGTTATTATTCTACTAAATAAGTTAGTACGAAAATAAAATGGAGCAAACCATGTCAATAACAAAAACCATGATGAAAAACTGCTCAATATTAGCGAAGTAATCGTGATATATACAGAAAATTGTACTTCGTCTAACATACTATCAGAAGCAAAATGCAAGCACATACATCACAATAATGGCAAATAAAAAAAGGCTGAAATTAAGAACCTACTGTTGAGTAAATCATACATATGAAAAACTTACTAAAGATCTATTGTTTTTGTAAACATAAAACATTAACAAACGCAATATTGTAATGTAATAGGATAATGAGATATGGTAATAAATAGGAAATTTAATTTTAAATGTGAATATACGACGTACTACAATGATGTAAATAGACAAAAACATATGTTCAGTCCTTGATGAGGAATAATATTTATCTGTTGAACAAATTATATGCAAATAATATCATGACTCTGTAAGACGAGACGGATATTTATAAACTGATTCCAAAAAGAAGGATCTTATTAATAACGCCTATAATTTTTCAAACAATATCAAACTTATAATGGTTATGATCTACCTGCATTGTAATTCTTTGCAAATTTATAGCAGATTTTAAAATTTAATGACTATATTCTATTTAAATATTTTTGCGTTATAACATAACAACAGATGATATAAAATTTTTGTTATTTTTATTTGTTGATGAACAATGAGATAATTATTTTAGTTTTGATTTTGATGAATCTCATCAAAATAAAACTAAGGTAATTGTCTAATGAAATGTAAAATGTTGACATAATTTATATTCATATAATATTATTTGTAACTGTTGTTAAATTAACTCATGCATATTTTTTTTATTTATAGGTATGTTAAGTGGTTCCTTTATTGATTATTTATTTAATCTAAAACATTAAGTACTCTCTTCCAGATTAGACATATTTTTTTCTTAAATGATTTCGAAAATTTTTGTAGTAGAACACAAATTTTAAATTATTCATATTATAAATATATATATTATATTAATATTATCTATCTATTAATGAATCTTTAATAATGAACGCATGTGTAATATATAATGAGATGATCCATTTTTAAAACATGTAAACAATATGTAGTTAGTGTGACAATATTCAAGCAATTTATTATTACCTAATCAGAAACATACATTTGTATTATAATGATAAAATACAAAGACCAAAACTATGGCAACATCCACTTACGCTTTTGCATTTCATCCATCGCATAATCCGTTTTCATTTTTACAATTTATACAAAACGCGTTTATATACACTTTCTAGTTCACTGCGGTCTGTCACCCCGACCGCACAATGTAATAAGACTAATAAAACCACCGGTAAACTTTAATTTTATTTGTGCTTAATTGAAAAATTCCGAAGACGACCAAAGATTTCGTCACGTAAAAATCGAGTTCGAGAGTTCGTGAATTGTGTGTGCGTTTTTAGCGTGTACGAGTAGACACCACCATTCGCTCGCGTTACATACACTTGAGTGCGGCGGTGGACCTGTTCAGATCTGCGCTCAGGATGACAGGTAACAAGACAAGTAACTTCGGCATTTCGATTCTGAATATATTTACAAACGAGTGATAATTTTATTCGCCATCTCATCGGACACGGACGGCGGAACAGTTGCGTGAAATTGGGGAGGATCATCAGCATTGTTTCTAACACGGTAGTGGTATGACACGCGTTTTAAATGTAATTCGAGGTCAAGTTTTTAAGTGTCTATATTTGTAATATAGGATTTACTTTGTGATCTTCTTATTTTTATGTTAGCCGTATAATTTTCTAAGTTAATTAGCATTAGGAATTCTTAAAGTTGTTTTTAAATACCTATCTGAAACATAAAACAATATACATACACTGAAATAAACAGATCTTCTAATTAGCGTGACCCGTATTATTCGGAAAGACTTTTTTAAATTTCGAATTAACAATTTCTTTTTAATGTCACTGAAAGTAATAGCTGTGTAGCTATGTACATATACATAGTTACTTGTAAGTCATTCGCTTACATCGAATATATAATATACACATGAATTTCGACCTGGTCCAAAACTGAAATGCTATCAAGTAAATTACAGAGCTAGTTTAGCAGAAGCTAGATCTAAAACAAATTTAGAAAGTTCCGTTTGCTAAATTGGCTCTGAGACAATGTGCTGAACACTATATAACAGAGATAGTGCGACATTTTTATTTTATCATCTCTATACGTCAATACGAACCGATCACAAACGGAAAATATCTTCCAATATAAGATTTATTTATATACCTACAATATTCATTACTGTACAAATATTTCTAACACTTTCCAATGATAACGTATTGCCTTTCAAGTTTATAAATTGTTTAAATCAATCGACCAGTGGATCACCCAGGCAATATTACAAAGATGAGTAATCCATTAGATTTATAGCACGCGAGTCAATCGACACTGCATATTTGCATATAAACAGCTGAATTCATACAAGAATTTTCATATATAATACGTTCACGTAGATTGTTCTAGAAAACAATTTATGTACATGTACTCGTACATTATTTACAATGTAT